ACAGATCTTTCAATAGCTGGGCCATCGACAAATCAGCCATCCTTCTGCAACTCCATCCGACCTGAGCTTGGGCGACGATTGATCTCATGAACAAACGATAAAGATCTGAATTGCTGGCCTGGGCTATCGACGACCATCGTTCTGCGACCTGGGCGGACTAATTTGAATGACACTCCGGCATGTCAACGATGCACCGCTACGAACTGCTTGTCCCCGGGAGACTTTTTTCAGCCTGAGAGATTAGATCGTCTAGTCAGTCCGTCGAGCCGTCCATCGTCTAGTTAGTCCGTCCTGCTGGCCATTTAATTAACAGTCGTATCGCTCCTTAGCAACCCGTGGCTAAATTATTGAATCTGAAGAAAATCTATCTAACCCAAGGCCAACGGGAATGACGGCGCAATTAATAAGCAAGGGCTCCTGAGTCGATTGCTCAGCATTCCAGGAAGTCGATTGTCGGCCTTCCCTTCTCAAGAGACGTCGATTATCGGTCTTCCCTTTTCAAGGGACGTCGATTATCGGTCTTCCCTTCCCAGAGTTGCAAGGGACGTCGATTATCGGTCTTCCCTTCTCACGGGACGTCGATTATCGGTCTCTCAAGGGACGTCGACTATCGGTCTCCTCGTCAAAAAGGTCTGTTACAGTACCTCCCATCCGGCTTCTGCTATTGCCTCTTCGGAAGGTAAAGCGAGCGGACTCATCACCTCCATCGTTCCCAGGAAATAGACGTCACGGATTCCATCCGTCCAATCTAGGTTGCGATTTTAGTACCCTCAACCCTAAACCCTAAACCCGAAACCCTAAACCCTAAGTTATTAGGTTGAAACTCAGTCATTACCCAAAACATCCGAACATGACGAGGAGCAGGTTCGGTGGATCCGTCTGAGGCAGATGTTGTGCCTCCTCACCGAAACATCGCAGCAACAAGCGAAATCGTGGAGAAGAATATCGTCCATCGTCGATCTTCTCCATCGGCCTTGCATCCCATAGGCTATGTAGCCTTTACCTGGGTGTAGCAATTCAGACACAAGCCCTATACTTACAACTTATTATGATATCAAGAAGAGAACCTGATTGGAACTAGGGTTCAGGGGTCGGGTTATTTAGGCTTAGGGATTAGGAGACGCAGCCGGGAGACGGGTAGTCCTCCGAAATCCGACGCTCTGGCCGTCGTCGTCGAACAAGAACAAGGTTTCCGATCGGCCTTGATGCTGCCAGCGGTAAATGGCCACGCGGTGAACGGAACCGGCCATGGCTTTCCAAGGAGGCTACTCGACCTATACGTCTATCCGTCTAGGCCGCTCTCTGAAACAGCATCGGTCTGGAGTCACGGATGGTGAACCCATATCACGCTGATTGGAAGTCTACGCTACTGGAGCAGACGAATCTGAAATGTAGGATCCCGACTTTCGCCGAGCCGGCCATGCTTTCGAAGAAGGCTAGTCGACGAATCCTTCTACGGCCTCTGAAACAGCATCGGTCTGGAGTCGCGGATGGTCCTGGCAAGGAATGACTCAGAATGGCTCCATTTGAGTCCGGTATCCGGTCCTCCAATCGATCTGCGGAACAAGGACCGCGACCTAAAATCAAAGCAGAGAGCAAAAGAACGAGCCGGCAATAAAAGGAAGGGGCAAACCCTGCCTGCACAGATCATGCTGAAGGAAATCCAGCCGACACTGAGGCATGACCTGGTATTGTCATATGTGGTCCCAAGTCTGGCTCACACTGGCAGACTTAGGCTGCAGCTGTTGGGTGATCGCTCCGACCCCGGCTCCTCGGTGAACCAAGCATCAGTGACAGAACTGCAGCATCCCTATTTGCACGAAAGTTGATTTGGGCAAGGCGGCTTTACGGTTGGCCATCGGTCTANNGTCTAGTCTAGCCAGTCGACAAGTGACAAGCACCACCGGTCTCGAACCGATGTTTACATCAAGAAATGACGACAGATCGCAGCAAACTTGTCATGTGAGCATTTGTACAATTGTACAAGCTGTCAGTAAAGCTTAATGCTATCTGTCTGCCTGCAATCTGCCTGTTGCAGTGGCAGTTTTAAAAACTGAACCGTCATTTCGGCTCAATCCTCAGCAGCATCAGAGCTTTCTGCGGCTTCCTCCTCGTCCCCCTCGTTGTGGTCCTCCTCCTCGATGTTGTCCTCCGGGTGATTGCCGATGACCTCCTTCCACTCCTGTCAGTCTGGCTGTGTCCACCACTACAGTAAATTACTTTGTAACCGCTGGTGCCTTCGCAAAACCTTCATCGGTCAGTGTGCCGCCTTCTTTCGTCATGGCCAGCCTCAGGTGTTGCATTGATTCTGATGGGCACGTCTTTAAAACAGCCAGGAAACTGCTGAATGAAAAGGCCCAGTGACATCATGATCAGTGGCAGCCGTTCATTCAGGAGCCAGTCGCGATGAGCATTGTTCTTGGCCAGGCCCGCATACACACAACCTCGCCGGGCACATTCCAGGGCCAAATTTCCATCTCCTGCCGTGAGGTCCAAGACTGCACGTGCGGACACCTGAGCACATGCGTGTTCAGACGAAATTTAACCTCGGGTTCATACTTGCATCCAGACTGCCGAGTGGAGAATCTCGGACAATAACTCCGGGCTGTCAGCATGCCAAAACAGCGGCTGGAGCAGCTTCGTCTCATCCTGCGTCTTGGGGGCCACTTTTTCCATGACCCGGGCCAATCTCTTGCTGTCCTTCTTGACCCCCTGAGTCGAAGATGTTCGATAAGTAAACTTCACAGTGACTCACAGAGACACAAGACAGAGAGTTTCATCGCAAAAAGGCCAGGCGGCCCCGGTGTCGTGCGTCTGGGGCATGATCTCCTTTTTCTTCTCCTCGGTCAAATATGTCAAGTTCTTCAGCGAGGTCACGGGCACGTTCTCGATAACCTCCGAACTTGTGCGGCCTTTGCAAAGCAATCGGTCTTTGACCTGGGCAGGAACATCATATGACGTGGACGTGTGGGTTAGACTGAAGCCACGTGGCCTTCGTGAGGCGTCGCCACTGAAGCTTGGGCGAGATGAAGAAAATCCGTTCGGTCTGTTTCATCGATCCTGCAGGCTCACACGAGAATCAACATAATATCGGCGACACAACAGTCGGACAGGTGCATGACCAATTGCTACGCCAAGAAGCCAAAGCCCCGGGACTTCCCATAACGTTTTTCTAACGACTTGGCAGCGAACAAAGCCACCACCTCCTGCGGCCCAGGTCATGCACTGATCACCGTGCAGTACACGATTTTCAAGACATGCTGGCCTTGTTGTTCGGAAAATGACCTTGTGTGGTCTTTTCGGTGGGAAACATAGATCGGATTTTCACGCCTGTCTCGCGGCTGCGCCCATCGAACAAAACAAAGACCTCAGGACGCAAGTATTCTTTAATCCTCACGTCAGCAATCTTGGCACAAGTGCAATCCTACGGCAACNNCAATACGAAACGCAAAGGGTCCGAGGAGCCCATCGATTGGTCCAAAAGGGCTGGCTCATCAGTTCTTTGGCGACGTTGAGTGGCTTGTAAGGCGAATCCGTGAGCCTCGGTGTTCGTCATGCGAGTAGTGGAAGACTGCCCTTGCAGGACCGCCCCCCAGAATGAGAAGTTAGGCTTAGCCCGTGGGCTCCTCACAAACCGTTACCCACAGGGGACATAGCCGTGGGGCGGGGCGAAAAGTGCATCTGGACGGGTCTTCGTCTCCGACCACATTTTTGGATTTACCACCACGACGCCGCACTCATCGGTCTGGAGCTGAACCTTTGTCGCAACCGCAGTGGCCATTAGAGTGGCAACCAGTGATGGGCTCGCCTCTGACGACTTCGGCGCAAAGATCTCGAACATCTTGGCCACCTTCGCCTTGGCAACCTGTCTGATTCGTTCTTGCAACTTCATCGCGTCCGTCTGCATCTCCTCGGCTGTGTTTTCCTTGTCCTTGCTGTCGGCCCCATCGGTCGTCATCAGCCGCTGTAGTGACGCCAATGCTCCATCGGCCGGAAAATCATTTTTCAACTGCTCCTTCAGAGAGCTAGTTTTATCCGACAAAGACCCGTAACTGATCAGTTCATCGCCCGACGCCGTAGAACAGTTCTTTGCCATTCCTCTCATCGTGGCATCGTACTCACCGTCCTTGGAACGACTCCAAGTTCAAAGCAGAGACATGTCATTCTCCAGAACTCTTACTGCGAATTCCACTAAATGTTGGAGGAGATGCGTGCAGGTCTATCAGGATATCGGCCAGCTGCTGGATGCTCTTCTTCTCTGCTCCCACCTCTGCTAGCGATGACAGGTGACGGCTTCCAAAGACTGCTAATGGCAAGCTGAACTGAATGCTGACAGGACACCCAAGTCATTTTTGACTTGGCAACCTCCGGCGACAGCATCTTGTTCCGCACTCTATCGGCCGCACTAACATCCCATTTGGCCACCATTGCCAGCAGCTCCTTCAAGACCGTATAGCGAAAGCAGTAAGTCTCGAAGAGACCGACCTTTCCTTTACCACCTCCGACGAATTCTTTGGACATGGATCGGTCGTCGTTGTTGCTCAACGATGCCATCAGAGAGCGAAATATGAACCTGTAGTAGTCCTGCCTCTGCTCCAGGGTCGCGACGATCGATCTCTTCTTCAGGTGGCTCTTCACCCCCCCAGTGAGTCTTTCAACCTTGGACCAGCCTGAAAGCGGTCCATCGTACGACAAACAGAGTCCTTCCAACTGGCGAAACTCGTAGAGAAGCGACTCAGTGCCGAGGATCTCTTCACCGAAGATCTCCATGAACGAAATGGCACTCTTGGAGTAGGGAGCCTGCGCAGAGGAATAAAGCTTCAACAGTAACAATTTCAAACATGCATCACAATTGACTGACTGACTGAGCTCCTCTTTCGTTGTCGCATTGACTTTCGCAAAGAAGTTATACAAACTCTCCTTGTCTTTCAGCTTTCCTTCTTTCTCAAGAACATTCTTGGTGTAGTTGATGCGAATCGCGATCTGGCTAAATGTCAGTCGGCACAGGCTCTTGGCTTGAACGGCCTCGTCCATCTTGAAGCCTGCAGGAAACCACGGACAACTTGCATTCACTCAGGGCTCGATGCACAAGAACTTGCATTCACTCAGGGGGCGCCTGCGAGCAAGACGCCGCTCTCGGAACTACGTGGGTGCCACCTGAGGGGGCAGCATGCCACCTCGACCACCCACCTCTTCATCACAGTCGCCACTTCCTTCGGCGATTGATTCTTAACGGCCCGCTCGTAGATCTTCAAGATCCCCACCATCAGTCCAAGCACCATCTCCTCGCCCCAGATGACGCGGACGGAGTCCGCATCTGGATAGACATTCACGTTCTCCGGCGACACCACACCAATTTCTGCCTGGGATAACGATCCGCCTAGGACCAGCTCACTCTGGGCCACTTTGCTCACAGCTTGCCAGTTGATGGCTGCCGCAGCGGACGAAATCTGGAGCCAAAACAAGCTCCTTGGCTTCTCAAGTGGCCTTAATAATAATCCAAAGAATAGGGACGTATA